GAGAAAAAAAAGTGGAAAAAGAGGCGGCTATTGATCGCGGCAATCGCCGTGTCCACCAAATCTGAAAATCGATTCTACAGAAATCCATGCGTCCATCATTGTGTCATTGATATAAAACGAGAAATGTAATATTTTAACAGAATTTTGACAACGCGAGGGATTAAAAATTTCATAGTAACAAACATTCAATCGGGCGATGAATAAAGCCGGAGAAAATTAATTTTGCTCGGAAATCTCGGATAAAATCGGAGAGAATCGTATTTAACTACATTACATTTCGAAATAATTTATTAAATTGCGCACAATTTGCACAATATATCGATTAATGTTCTTCAATAAACGACATAATAGACGCTGCCAGCTTCAGCAATGCGCGAGCTTCTTCCAAGAAATTGCTGACTGAACCATATTGCTCATAAGTCCTCGTTAAACTCTCTCTAGATATCGCTTTTTACCATCCGTTTTCTTTCTTTTAACCTAGCTAAAAAAAACGACATCACCAATTTTCTTTCGCCTTTTCGACGCTTCGAAAAGCGATATACTCTAGACAAGAAAACTTTTCGGCTAATGAGAAACGGACCGCGAAGCTGCCTGTAGGAAATTAACCGTGGAAAACTCGAATTTTCATCGTAAATTTGTTCGGAGGATTAAGGGGATTAAATCTTAATTGCGACTAGATGAGAGATGGCGTAAAATACCTACGTGCAATAATTTATACGTTATCACGTAGTTCTTAGAGAATTAAGCACTTTCGGATTTTTCAAAATTAATATTAGGTAACATTAACGCGATGTTATTTAAACAAAGAAACTGGGAAAATTTTTAGAAAACATGTTAACTATTTCATTACCATATATCGTAAAAGATATAGACATATTTTTTTTTATTTTTATTCAATGTAAAAGAGATAAAGAGATATTGCAATTGTAATGTTTTCTATTAAAAATAATAAACATTGTGTGAAACATTCAAAAAAAATAATAAAGGTATAACAACTTGTACAAAATCAAATACTGGAAACACGAGGGTGCTCCTCGCTGTTTGGTAATGTGATAATTAAGTAAAGTCCTCGCAAGCGAATTTCACAGTCGTTGAAGGAGCAGCTTATTAAACCGAACGTTTCGCCATTTGCATATTTAAATTTCCATTTCCGCGGAGCTCTTGCCCGGGCAGAGCCACCAGGTTAAATAGGAAAACCGCGAGAAGCGACCTTTTATCTCATTTCGTACCCCTTATCGCCAGGTGCATTGATCTTTCCTCTCCTCACCGAACCTTCTGTTTACCTTCAAATCTATGAGAATCAATCTTTGACTTGTTGAACGGTATCATATCCAAGATTTTCTTCATTTAATATTCTTCATTAAGATATATTATTAAAATAAAAATAAAAATAGGTAAAAAATATCGTTAGATTTTCTAAACGGTTTAATACAGCTTTACATATAAATAAGCGACTATTTTTCTTTATTTCAAATATTTTTGATAACAATTTAGTGAAAGGTTTATTGTACCGACAAATGGTTTATCGACTTTCCATGTAATCCTAGTTGCCTACAAGATTGAAACTTTTTGTACAATAGTTCTGTTATATCAACTGTAAAATTAATTAAATCATTCGTTACGAGAGATGGCCCTCTCCGTTATTCAGTGAGCTGCACCAAGCTGTTGAAGGTCGCTTAATTGAATATTCAAAAAACAATATGTACCGTGGCGGAGATAACGACCACTTTAAATGATTGGTCCACCGCGGTAATTACAGTCGCCCTCGGGTGTTTAAATTATTAATTAATAACCACCGACGCGTTGTACCTTTGTTAACTAACGCGATCGTAATCGCTAATTATTTCGACTCTGTGACCGCTAATTCAATAAAATCCAGAATTAGCTCGTTTTAATCGTTTAAGCTGCTAACCGTATTCGGAAATATAATTTTCCGAATACGGTATAAATAAAACGGCGCAAACGGAAAAAATTATAATATCCCATTTCGCAAAAAGCCTATGGCGATTATTTCGTGTCGCGCTCACTAAAAAGGAAATGTTTGACAAGAAAATTGTGAAGTTGCGTTAAAATTAGAGACACGTACATTTTGCATGAATTTGATACGAATAAATACCGCTGCCAATACATCGAATTATTATTCTTTGTGTTGCCTGCTAATTGGATAAATGTTTCCTTCACTACCGTTTCCCTTTGATCAATTTATTAGCTTACGTAAAATGTAGTCGTTTAGATTTGTTTCATTCCACTTAATAAAGCGATAACGTACATAAATAATAAGCAATGTATTTATGATCATTCGATAGATTTATGTAACAAAATGCTTAATAAAATTATGATTATTTATCCAAGTTTTTACCATTTGAGATAATTGCTTTGTATAATGCTTATGATATCAACATGATGATTACCGATTCTCTCTAAACAATCCTTATGGCTCTAAATTAGAGACACTTGTTCGTAAGCGCATCATACAGCACACCTGCACCGGTGTGGCGGCACCTTTATCCAAGCCGTTAGTTACGGATGCGACTCGCGGTGTGTCAGCAACAACAGGCACCCACGAAGTTTGCCCACCTGTCCTGATAATGTCGGTTAATATCATGTAAATTGTAATTAATATTCATGGGGTTAATTCGCTACCGCGGTCGGCCCGACGCCGCTGCTGCCGCCAGGGCGAAGTTTTAGCGAAAATTTACGGTCACCGCGAAACATATTTCGGACGTACCGCAGGCATTGTATAGTTACGGCCCTACGACCCGGTCTCATCCGAATAAATCACGTCGATCCACGCGACGGATCGTAACAAAGTTATCAATCCGTTGCTTGGTATAACTTGTAGAATTAGGCGCGAATGCTAGATTACACTAAAATAATAAAGAAGTTAAAAAAGTAGATAAGAAATAAAAGAAGTGCGGCACAAAAATAAGATATATGTGTTCAAATATCTTTAACAATGTAGAATTTCACCAACAGTCGGCAATAAACATATTATATTCATATTGCGATGCAGTATTAAATTTTAAATAGCAATCATTTTTAAATTCAACGAACACATTTACCCACGAGAAGGAAACGTTTAACGTGATTGAGAACGAAAAAAGAGCGCCATGTTTTAATGAAATAGTATAATTGAAAACTTCCCAGCGGGAAATTTCAGAATTCCCGTGTGACGTAAGAACGGTGACGATGCAATGTATTAATTTCCGGTAACGCATTTTCCGATGATTAAATTTCCGAACTACGTCGCCTGCGCGCTCTTTTCGCTGTAGACTATTACGGTCAACTCGCGCAACAAATTAGGCACAGTGCAATTAATTAAACAACACGTAACACGTAACACCGTAGTAGGTACTTCGCGCAGGCAAGCGGACGCGAACGCTCCCCCATGAAATTGCATTTGCGACGTAGACGGAAAATAATTTGCAACGTTAACAAGAATTCGGAATAGAGGGTCATTAGCATAGCTTGGACGCACATATAGCGCACATATACACGTACGTGTACATTAGCGAGGTTGTTCTTCTTCGTTCAAGGGTGATGTTTACATATAATAGCCGCGCGATTAACTTAGTGCCATAATTAAAATAATGGCGCGATGCAAATTACGTAAGGCATTGCGTTATATTACTCGAGAAATGCTTCTCGCAACACCATTGCATTACGCATCTCATTCAGAGAACGAGAGAGCACTCTCCCCGGGCGCAGTTGCCTCAGATAAAACGTTCCCCGCAAAAGCCGTTTTTAATATCCTTCGTGATCGTGCGCGTTGTGCCTGAATAAATTGCACTTTGGTACGGTGGAATGCAAGACTAAAGAAAAGTAATTTCCGATCGTACATATGATATCGACATTTAACAGAAACTTTATTAACAGGTATATTCGATGTCTCGTCTGCAACGCTCTCGCAGCAATGGGAATGAACGCAATTTTAGTTGCAGTCATCTTGTCTTTTCACAATTACGATAAACAAATGATATATTCATTACCAAATAAATAAAATTAAAGTTTCGTATTTTATCGACGAAATGAGATAAATGATGTAGGTATCCTTTTAAACGTGTAAGATATTTTTTAAGAAGGATAAATTTATCGAATGCGATTGTCCTTCTTAAAAAAGCGGAGGACGTCTGGTCACGTTATTTATAGACAAAGTCAATAAGCTAGCAAATTCAAGAATCTCGCTATTAAAAAAAAGAAGCTGATTTTATGATACCGTGGTAATTTACGACGCAGCTGTTGCTTCGCGAACGTATCCTATACGTCGCATCTGGATTTTTCGTCGACACACGCACTCGCAAGAGAAATTACTAATTCAAAGCCACTCGTACCAGTTACTGTCTCTCGTGATTCGTTTCCGCGTAGATCGGAGATGCTTTATTCCACCGAGACGATCCCCTCTCAAGCGAAAGGAAAGAATGGGAGGATCGGATCGGGATAGTTGAGGTCGCGACATCGCGACCTCTGACCCGCGGTATTTTACCAACGACCATCATGTTATGATGCGACCATCTCCGCAGTAAAGGGAAATGGCACGGGACATTTACGGTCATGATTCTCCGACGCATTACCGCGGCCTATCTGTTCTCTATCGGCGAAAACGCTGCTACTCTGTGGGTGTCTCGGGGATAAGCGCGTATACCATATCCTTTTTATACCGGATATAATATACCCTCCAGAGATGTTCCGTTACGTTTAAATGCCCGTTTTCCCTTTTCTTTTTTTACATTCGCTTTGCGTATATTTCTCGTTTTCTCTGATGGCAAATATCACACGCTGACAAACGAGCCCAACCGATCGCGTCTCTGAACGTAATAAAATCGCACGTGTCCTTTCCAGAACAGTTTGCGATAAAACCTTCCGTTATTAGAGACATATCGTTGGTAAGTTATTATCTTTCCGAAAGAAAATAAAGGAGGGGAATTAATATCAAACAGCAGCAAATACATCGTTAACTTTGATAACTTAATGCAAGCCAGAATTATATGAATATGACTCACCATTGATCGCGTGGATCGGGCAGGGATCTGTGTACGGAGATTAAATCACTGACATACTGATTGAACGCGTTATTGAGCCAGCCATCGTCCACCAGCTTCTTCGTCTGCGCGGACATGTTGGTCGGCAATATCACGGGTCTGCCCATCTCGCCGGGTGCAACAGCATCCGGATCCCGTGGTACAGCCAGTACTCCACCACCTAAGGGATCGAAAATCACGAATGAGTGACATCGTACAAAGGTGTTGGCACGAGAAGTTTATATATTATAAATTATGTCTATTAATTGAATTGTGTATCCATAATTTACCTCATCGTCGAAGTAAATAAATTTAAGATTAATCCTTTGTTGAATATTAAAATTTTACTAGTGTTATAAAAATTACTATTGTTATATCACAAACTTCGAAAATTTCATAAAATATTTTTAAATAAACAAGAAGAAATAAACGTTATATACAGTTTAAACAATTCCAGTACGTATCTTACTATAATAAATAATATTCTTTTTTAAAGATTATATGCTTTCTTTTCAATTTTATCTCATTTTTCAGTCATTCCATTCTCTCTGGTATAATATAGGATCAAAATTAAAATTCTTATGAATTCTTACAAATTTTTCAAGACCAATAATCGGATAAAGAAGACTGGCGGTTAACCGATATTACCCTACTAACGGTAATATCGAAAAATCATTACATTCCAAAGATTAACGACATTTATAAGCGCAGTCTTATATCGTGAAAAGAACTCTCGTAATTGAAATTAGAATACTGCTAATGAGAGTTGAGAAAGGCATTATCGCGCTGCTTATGCGTCGGCGAGATAGAAAGGCAAATGGAGCAATACAGTGATTCACGCCAAACTCGTGGCCACGCTCGTATTTTGTCGGTGTTCCGGTTTAGTTTCAGCTAATTCTCGTTCCGCCTTCTCGTTTTGCCTGAATGTCGGGAGTATGATGCTTAACGTCAGCGCGCGAGGAGAAACGAGTCTGCGACGGCGGCGGTGACGACGGCGCTGCGCCGCAGAAAAAGGGCATCGGGAATTGAATTTTCAGCACATCCACATCCCCGCCGGGTCTCGAGGTGCACCCTCTAAGAGCTTTCTCGCATAAACTCCGGTTTTATTTGCCGGCGCCATATTGCCGCGGCATAGCTGCTAAAGCCAACGAGGCAAGTGCGCTCCGCGATATGGTCGGCTGGCTGGCGCGCCCGCCTGTCCTGAAAATAATTTTATCCCGGTCGACAAAGTTCGGCCCCGGTGTGTACGATGCGGCAATAAAGAGGACGACAAATTGCTTTAGCTCCGCGACCCGGGCCGCCACGAAGTTCGGCGATGAAACTCGCGTCGTGCATCACGACCGCGTTCGCCGTTACGCTACGGGCTTTTCTTGGGAGAATCGCCGGCGGCGCGGCGCCGGGAAGTCTCCTTTTCCCTCCGTTTGCGTATGAGCTGAGCGCGACAGTCATCTCGTTCGTTCTCGGCGCTGGAGCACACGTTCACGCCCGCGGAATTTAAATTCATTAACACGTCATTCCGGGACGCGCGAGCATGCAAAGTTCCTCGCGAATGCGAGCTCGTGAGGCATCAACCGACGAGAAACGACTAAGCTCATCATTCAAGATCCACATTTACAGACTCCTCTCTAATACCATGTATCGCGCTGTTCGCTGCGACGCGACGACGTCGGCAGGGTGCAATGTCGACTATATCAGGATGATCCATGCATTATGAAAGCCCCATTCGTACTTCGCGTACTTCTGACAATAAGGAGGTAAACGCGGTGGGTGAACTACCAAAGATTCCTTATTGCGCCCGCGGTGGTGCCCGAGAAAACTTTCGTCTTTGAGGATCCTTCGTGCGTACAATCATACCTCGATCTACGTTCTTCTCCTCCACGATTTGCCTTTATTCCTGCTCCTTTTGTGCAATCGACACGCACAAGCAAGAAGCATAAACGATATAAGTATTGAGTAAAAAAAGGTTTAAAAAATTTATTTCAAAAGAAATTATTTTTGTTTTCTTCTTTCTGTCGAATTATCGGCAAATAAATTAAATTCTCAACGGATAATTCTCTGAGAGTTAATTATTTATATAGAATTTGTATACAATTTGTATCTATGGCAAAATAAGAAAATATGTTATAACTGGTACGTACGTAATAAATTTTTTCTTTTTTACTTTACTTGAAAAACGTCCTCGAAATGTCGGACATGTTGAGCCACAGGTGGCTCGCGAAGTAATCAAACATTCTCGGGTATGATTCATGCACAGACCATGCATTCCAAAAGGGACATCTATCAGCTTATTAAGACCTAACTCGCACCTAACCCGCGCGTGTGTAGGGTGTCCACCTATTAAGCCGTTTCCTAACAGACGTGATTCATGTAGCAACTCACAGTACGCCTACGTCGCATCGGCAAGATATGAAGAACGCAACTTTAATCATACCTAAATCTTCGTGTCGAAGATAAAACGATTTGCCTTCTAAACAAAATATGCGCCCTTCAAAATATTTTTTCTTAAGCTATATTGCAAAGCGATCATTTTAATTTATATAATTCTTAACAATCTCACAAAATTAAAAAAAATTAATTCTTTAATGGACTGAATAAATAGAAGAAGGAAAAGGAGAAAGGAAAACAATCTCGTTGAAAGTACCTTGCTCCGGGCCGGCCTGATTGATCTTCGCCTTGTTGCTGATCACATTGCCGGTCGTTTCTTTTCTAAACGACGCCGCGGGCGGTACAAAGCCGTTCGCTACTTGCTGCGGCATCGCGACGCCCGACGGTGCCAATCCTTGAACGGCGGCCGCCGCCGCCCGATCCTCCGTGTAGAGCAGGAAACAGACGGTCACCCACACGGCGGTCGCCAGCACCGCCACCTTCAACCACAGCGACCTCCTCCTGGGAAAACCCATCCTTCCGCCGCTCTTCGATCCTTCCTTTATGCGCCTGCTGCGATTGACACCTTCCCGTGCTGCGATTATCGTACTTCTCGTGCGGCCTCGAAATGTCGTGTTACCTCAGCAACATCCTCTCGCCCCTCTTCAACCTTCTTCTCGGTCGGCTCTCGCCGTGTGACGTCGAAAGGTCCGGGCACCTAGGCTAGTTCCTCCTTTCTACGCGATCGAGGACGCTAATTAAACGCCCGAGTAGAGAGAGGAGATCCACGGTAGACGCGTTCCTTTCACGAGCTACCGCGCCAGAAATTTCACAGCGAAAGCCTCGGCTCCGGAGAACGATTCTTTATCCTAATCGAAATGACTGACAATCACTGACGTGCAACATCGATAACTTTCCGTGATAGTAACATGCGTTATCGTCCGTTTCGGCGAGGCTATTCTTCAAAGTTGATCTCTCTCGACGCCGTCGCGATAGATCACACGAAGTGAGATAAAGTAGATTTCTAAATTGTGCGAAACTAATGTTGTAGCTCGAGATATACCGTGGCAGACATCTACCGAGTTTTAACGACGTAATGTGATACGTTTAGCAATCGATATGTTGCATTTGATTCTCGCCGTTACGTCAACGTAGAACGGCGAAATGGTCTTGCATTAATATATGAATTATCGTCGTAGATTGGATATGATTTTTATGTTTTAATTAATAATCCGTATATGTGCGTTACGATATGTATTTTCGGGTCAAGCAGTTTCTCAACGTCACCGCATTCTCGTACCTGCAATCATAAAAAAAGGCAAAAATATTAATGGAAGAAACCTCGGTATATAACGACTAAAGTTCAATAAAATATTGAAAAGTTCCAACTCGTACAAGTTTGATCTACTTATGAACTATATTTTCAAAAAGTACTCGCGTGTTCAAGATTAAAACTTTTACGCAAACTCGTTTAACCATTAGTAAACTCGGAATGTTTTAGTGTTTTAAAATTAAAATGTATAGCGCTATTTCATGTACAAATATTGGATTTTGTTTTGAAAATATTCAAGATAACAGTTTACATAATTTTCATAGTGTATACGTAATTAATCGTTATAGATTAATAAAAATTGCGGTGCTACGATCCTATCTATTCTCATAAAATTCTGAATTAGAATCGCTATTTTAATTATTTAATTTTCGACATATTGAGAGAGAGAGGAGATGAGATAAATTCTATCTCCTTAGTTATATTATTAACTATTCGAGGTTCTAAGGTGTCAAAACTGACACAATAACGAATCTCTCTGCATGCGATATATTTAGTCTCGTCGAATAGCTTCCGTTTCTTTATTTATTTAGCGATTCGTCTGACACAGACTCGGAGCAATTCGTTAAATCTTATTTCTGGAATCACGAATAAAACAAAGATTTTATATATAAACTTTTTTGTGATTATACATTAAATATAAATAAAGATAAAAATGCTGATATTGCAAATATATAATTTGCATCTCTGAAATATACTCTTCACGATTTATTTATCTTACTAATAAAACGGTATTATTTAAAAGATAACATATTCGGAAATACGATCGACCTGGGAATTTCTCAATTAAGGGAATGATTGTAAACTTGCGCGCTCGTTAGATATACGATCCAGAATTCAGTGTACCTAAAATACGTTCTTGCGAGTAACCCAGCGCTAAGTAATCGGAAAATATGCGCGTCCCGGGGCTTTATTAACTTTGTGTTAAATTAGGAAATTAGGAACTTTCACACGGCGTGGCGGTGTGGTCGTTAATGATGTTAGGATGGACAGTTTATACGAAAGTAACAACGATAATATCGATAATCTTGACCGTTAGCCGTTCGATACTTGTTACCAAAAAAAAAAAGAAAAACTTTTCTCATCATAGAAAATAGCATTGGTCTACAAATATTAAACGGATCGACATGAGAAAGGCAACACCGTAGCAAATTGCATAAATTAAATCGACGACGCGACGCGACGCGATACGGTCATCCATCACTTTCACACGTCGAGTCTGCTGTACGAAATGATTATATTCCCGACATGACGCGCGATCAGGCGCAGATAAGTGGACGCGCGCGGTACGACCGTTGCATTATGCGCAATGCATCGCCCCACGTGAAAAAGTTGGCTGTCGCCGTGTGCACGCAATCTCGCAGATTGTGCAAAGTTGTCTGCTCGTATCGGAGAATCGAGAGCTGCATTCGAATGGACCGAAGCCTGGCGGGATAACGATGAAAAGGCCCCGCCACGCGCACATCTAGAGAGAGGGTTCGGGTTCGGGGACGGGACGTGAAAAGCTCCTGGGCGAAGGAGAAGCTCGCTCGCGCGTGTCACGCTCTTTTCGGCGCGCCGGAGACGTTTGCTATTCATAGGCGGAGAAAGGCGCGCATTCACGTTTTAACGTTGCATTTCGACCGTAACCATATCGCGTGAGTCGCGAAGATGCGCGCTGCAGCGGATGCATCGAATGGCGATGCATCGACGGACGTTATGATGGGAGAAGTGCAGTTAAGCCAGCAGCTTTTCATCGCCGAGATTGAGCGCCACTATTCTCACGGAAAATTGCATCTGCATTGCATCCAGTCGTCTTATGAATAACATCGCTCGCAGGAGAGAGAAAAATTTAGGGTAAACTCGGGTAAGATGGCCATAGAGGAAAGATGGCCAATCTAGGTTTTCTTTCAATCTGACCATGAATCATCGAATGAACATGAGTTTACCCTACGATGTACATTTTGGTTAAGTTTAGTTAATTGTGGTGTTAATACAGTTATTAACGAACACATAGTGAAACGTGAGATGTATAACATTTTGATAATGCCTAGCTAATCGCGCTGTTAATTATATTAATAAAACTCGAAATTCCCTGCTGGAGCTAGCGACAGAATAAAACTGCACATTTCAGATAAGATTTATAACGAGAGAATATCCTGAAGATAGGAGCAATTTAATTTTTCGTAAACAAAGATTAGAATTGAGATATCCGCGTGGAACAATCTCGCAATATTGCGGAGATATCTTCTCGGCATTATAGAGTAAGAGAACTCCGCAGATCATACTATCTTTCTCAGACGGCACGAGAAGCCTTCCATTTCCAGCGAGTGGAGGGAACATTGTCTCGAGTAGACACACGTGCGAAAGCAGTGTGTGCTTTGGAGAAACGTTAGCGGGAGAGTAGTCTGGCTCTGCCAGAACCGTACGTGGCAAAGTGGCATGGTCGCTTTTTAGTGGTCGTTACTATCGGAGACACTTTTCCGTAAAAGAGTTTACTACTTCTCGTCTCTAAAATGCTCAGGCCGATGTATCGGTCTGAAAAACCTTCCTTTCCTTTCCTTTACGATCTGGCAGTAAATATATTGTAAGAAACATAAGTGTGGCATCTCCTGTCGCGGCGTCCCAGCAATATTAAAAAAAAAAGGAAAAAGAGATAAGTGGACAAAGAATTTATTTTGTTGCGAAATAAACTGCTCCGAGATCTCGAAAGTAAGTCTGCCTCTAACGCTGCGGATAAGATTGTTAGAATGAGGTCGGGCATAAATAAAGAATCAGCATAACTAAATGGTAAGAAAGAACGATCGCGATGTGAAGAAAATGTATAAGGCTGCGGAAGGCGGATTTAATTTACTGCAGAAATGAAAATAAAAATAGCAGCAAAATGAGCTCTCGGAATGAAACTCTAAAGGAGCAGAAACAACTGACACACGCTGTACTGCACGCTGCGGTTCAACTCGAGATTGAAATGTTCCTCGGACTAAAATATGCTTCTTGTTACTTTCATCGTATATTTGTATTACAGTATTTGTATCAAATATCGCTTTGTGTAAATACCGTAAATAATAAAACTGATTAAAGACATACATAATTTTGCAATATTATCCGACACAAGAGTGTGTTTTTTTACCCCGATCGATGAAAATGTGTCTATGCATGTAAAGAGCTAGATAAGAGAGCAAATGAATTAGGTGCCTTTTGATTGAGAACGCTGGCAACGTCAGATGTGTACGTATGGTAAGATGGAATAGAGTATAAAAAGTGTATATTTGTCATTTGTAAGAGCTTGCTTTCGTAAATTTCGTCGCAAGCGTCTCGTCGCCCTTTCGTGTTAACCGAAGTTAGATCGAGCTGGCTACTGGAGATAACATCGAGCTCGCGTGTCACTGTTTATTTGGGTTAGGTTCTATTTTCGCTACCGGTCTACCCCACCGACACGAAACGAGAGCACAATGGCTGGACTCTTTGCCCGCCGTTAAATGAATCGCTTAGGATAGGAAGGTGAGAAACATCTGAGACGCTCGACACAGGATCCACGTAGGAAAGATGTGTCAATCAACGTTCGATAACATTGGCAGCATGCGTATGCCGACGTATGTTTCTGAAGTAGGGAATGTGGATTTATAGTTAGGCACAATGATCATACCGTTTTTCATTCAAGTCACGCGCTTTATAATGTTCTGTCCAAACATAAACTTCTTTCCTCACGGTTGAAAGCAAAATAATATTATGCCCTTCACACATATGGCTTTCTCTTTGCTTATTCACCCTTTCATTTTGGTTCTGTAACAATGCCGTGTTTACGTAATAATTCCATATTTCCATGGCGCTGAACACATCAACTGGCCTATAAGAGTTACATGCATAGTTTGCCACTGAATAATTTTCGCGGTAGGTAAAATCCATCGTGAAACATACTCGACGGATTAATCAAATATCTACCGCTAATGGCCGCGTGACAGAATTTTGTATTTTCGCTAAAAGCGTTTCAATGTATTCTGTTTTTTTTTTTTTTTCCCTAGCGAGTCAGTTAAGACCGGAAAACCGTGCTTTCTTTTCGGCAAAAGCGCATGAAGCTATGCTGTTTCTGACCATGTTGACAAACGTCGTCGTGTACGACATCTAAATATTTCTCTATATACGCGCTCGAGAAACAGGAAGAGAAAGCCGGGAAAGCTGGTGGACACGCGAGATAAAAGCGGAGAGAAGGATATCCGCACAACAAAAACGACATGCTGGTCCAACATGCGTCAAACCAGGAAAATAAGCCGATCGGAATCCCTAGCGGCGCGGCGATACCGTGCAAGCGTGGGATATACAACAGCGAGCACGATGGAAAGGAATCGCGGGGAAGCGATTTCTTCAAGAGAATATTAAATCTGCAAGAGCCCTCAAACCAATAACACTTGTATATGCGAGGTAAGAAAGATCGGAGAAACAATTGGAGAAGAGAAGTACTTCATTCTTGATGCACGATATATTGCTATCAGTATCAGCTCTATTTACATTTATCTAGAAAAGAGTAAACTGCTTTCATCTGAACGGTTTCTCAATCGCGCGCACGTAAAAAAAAGTCTTAAACATCCTAAACGGAAGAACGATATAATGATTTATAAAGATATCGACAAATAATAATATTAATAACGGCATTACTTAAAATATTCAAAGAGCTTTTCGCAAAAGCGCATTCTAATTAAATGTAACTAATAATTGAATTAAAAAGTGGGAATCCTATATTTGTACTCTTTGATTACATTAAATTATTTATAATTAAATTAGAAATTACTGGGTGTATAACGTGTATCTCGTGAGCAGGAACATTTATTTAATACCATTACATGTCCGAAGCCCATTTTAAAAGAATGATAAAATTCATAATTTCACGGTATAATTTTTTTAAGTAACCGCCCGGATAAATACTGAAAACCATCGCGCTTTACAAACGCCGGGATTAACGTTCATGGTTAAAATTCCGTTAAAGCGAAAATTTG